GGGAAGTAGGGGTCGAACCCTGGTCTCCAGCGGGATCACGAGCTGATCTAGCCACCCCACCCAAGTTCGTTTCATTTAAATAACTAGAAACACGTCATACTTACAACTACATGAGTGGTTTTCTTTGGGAATTTTTCCTTTATTGTTTTATTTGGTCTCTTTTCCTCTCCGGTTTTCATTTTCTTTCTCCGAGTTTTCATTTGTTTCTTCAGGTTTTTTCTTTTTCTTTTTTCTTTGGTTTATTATGTTTCTTTTTCTGTTTTCTTTTGTTTTTCATTCTACATTCTTATATACATGATCAACATTTTTTTAAACACTTGCTCAAAATTTGTCTTCCTTTTTTATTCTCCATTTTGTTTCACTTTTTAGTTTTTCCTTTGTTTCTTTTTGTTTGTCATTCTACATTCTATATACATGTTCAACATTTCTTAAAATACTTGTTTAACTTTTTTGAAATACATGCTCAACATTTTTATATATGATCAATTTTGTTTTGAATACTTGTTCGACATTTTCCTTTTTTTTGTTTTCCATTCTACATTTTTTTATGTAACAAACATATTTTTAATAACTTATCAACATTTTTCTATACACGTTCAACATTGTTCCAACGCTTATTCAACATTTTTTAAATATTTATTCAACATCTAATACTTATGTCAATATTTTTAAAATACATACTCAACATTTCAAATATCTTTCAACCTATTTTAATACTTATTCAACATTTTCTAAATACTTTTTGATATTTTTAATAAATATTCAAGAAAATTTTCAAATACTCGTTCAACATGTTTTATTACTTATTCAACATTTTTAAATATTTGTTCAACATTTTTAATACTTATTCAACATTTTAAAATATTTGTTTAACATTTTGAAAACACTTGTTCAACATTTTTGAAACACTTATTGAACATTTTTTAGTATTTATTCAACATTTTTCAAATATATATATTTATAGAATATTTTAAAGTATAGAGGAAAGTGCAAAATTCTTGCATGGATGAAAAAATAGTTCATGAAGTGAATATTTGACACCGAACATAGGTCATGTTTCCTTGATCTATTACTAGAGAACATTCCTAGCGTTAGTTGGGGTGGCTGGCAGCAGCTCTCTTAAGTGAAGCGACCAGTGTTTGAACCCTGGAATTGACTTTTTATTTTTTTTAGTGAAGCGACCAGAGCCGGCCCACTCGCGAGTTCGCTGAAGCGGGAGATCGACCAGACCTCGCGTAAAGCAAGACACATCAGCGCCCCTGCCCCTGGTTTCAGATCAGATCGCTACAGCAGTCGATGATCGGGAAACAAGATCGTCTTCGCCAGGCCTGGTTTTCGTCTTGATCGGGAAACAGGATCGACGGATCGTCTGTCTAATAAAAAAAAGATAGCTACAGCAGATAGCAAAAATGCTACACGCACGGGCTGATTACGGGGTTGCAACGGACCCCTTCCAACTAACTAATCTTGCCCCCCTGATTTTCAGGTGGGTGGGGCCCCTCCTCCCCCTTTAATCCAATAACAGTTTGACAACTCAACCTCACCCTGTAACCAGCCCGTAATTATCCGTTGATGTAGCAAAGCTCCTACAGCAGTCGTTAGTCGATCAGGATCGCCTTCGCGTCGATTGGAAAACCGCAAAAGCAAACCCGTCGGCGTCCCTTAACGGGATCGTTTTGTCGGTCCTCGCTTTCGCCTCATCAGATGAATAAGATTTTGGCCGATGTCACTGTTGCCTTCGTAGCCTCCTCCCCCGTCGTCTCGTCGGATCGATCCGTGACCGATTCCAGCCTCCAACTGCTTAGTGAGTCCTCCTTTTCGACTCACTTCGGTTCATACTCTCAATTCCTAATTATCTAATTAACTTTTGAAAGAGGTATTATTTCATTAGAGATC